TCTCTCCTTATCGTTTTCTATATGTTATCCTCGCGCTGTCTCCTCGTTCCTTTTGATCGTCGTTCGTTCACATCTCGTGCACGTCCTTCCATTTAGGATGTTTTCGCCGATATCGTGAAACGCATCAAGCGTTCAACGAGCAAACTAAAATTACCACGAATTCGCTTTGTGCCAGGGTCGCGACCGAATTATACGAGCGGGATCTCCTTCGCGCACGTCGGTGCCCGCCATCGTTTCTCGTAGCAATTTTCTTTGAAAATCTGCCGTTAGAACGAGTCGGGCTATCTGCCGCTACGATTTCGAATTGCAAAGCGCTTCTTTTCCATGAAAAGACGAGGGAAGAAAACCTCGAGCGGCGAGCTCGAAGCTCGCGAATCCGTTTCCGCATCCGCGTCCGAATCCTCGTTCGACGCGATTCCCCGCGATAAATGCATTTTCACGGCTTACGCTACGAAATGCAGGATTAAACGAACAGCTCTCGTTGCCACGAGCTACCGTTTTCGAGTCTTTCTTTGTCCGCTTTCGAGAACAATTGGAATATAAATGCTGATAAACGGCGAGAGAATAACGAATACGTAATGCGAGATTCGGGGCAGTTGTCGCGTATAGTGCGGGGAAAGTCGATCGCAAGAGTATTTCGCGGGAGTGAGGATTTCGTAGAAATTGAAAGAGACCGATTTTAATGAGCGGAGCTGGAAAAGTTCGTCTTCGAATTGGAAGTTCACTCTTGCGGACAAAGGAGACGAAAGTTCAAAGGTGAAGCGCGGATCCGATTCTAAAATCCGTCTTCGAGGTATTAGACGTCTTCGAAGTATTATCGTCGGAATACTGGTCTGTTTCGAGAAGCTCATTTTTCGTTCACGCGCAGTCTATTTATTTATTCACTTTTTTTTTTTTTTTAGCGAGAAAAAGATAAAGGAACTTGCGATCAAGCTTGGCATTTTCGCTCGAAATAATTTAACGAGGCTAAAATGCTTACTTTGAATGTCACGTTAAAAAGAAAGAAGAAAGAGAACGAAATTGAAATTACATTAAAAAGGTGGAGGAAGAAAAAGAAACGCGTAGCGAATGCTAATGCCTTTGTATCTTATGAATTTTTTTTTCTCGTTATCGACGTCGGTTCCTTCATGTTCTTGGAAAAATAGCATCCATCATTTTCACGATCGTCGTGTCCCGTTTGATCGATGCTTCGGTTCGAGCCGAAGGAGACAAGCTTGATCTCCTTTAATCAACAATTACGCTGGCACACCCGAGGGAAAATCAACCTTCCCTTCTGCTCGATACCGATAGTATTACAGAGGAATTTTCTGACCTAAAAAGCTTCTCGGATCGATCTATTCAGCGAGGCACATGCCCTTTGATTATTAGATTTCTTAGTTGAACGTGAAAAGGTCCTCGTATTGCGGCGCCTCGGCAATGTCTACATATCCACGTCCTAAATATCCACGAACGAGCTTCGCCGAGCGACCCTCCTCCTCGGTATCATAGAGAACGGTCACGCGTCAACCGAATAAACCTCTCGACTACCGCTTCTCACCTTCGGAGAATCGATTCATCGACGTGGCGCAAATCTTTGGTTCCCCTGCTTCCCTTGGCACAATAACCTCGGTGGTCGTCCTGCCTGTTTTCGCGATAATAGGACGCAAACGCGACGCAGAAGATACGAACGAACGAATACACGTAACGTGTTAACGCACACACAGCGGGAGATATCTTTGCGAATCGTATCGAGTGGTCGACCACAAAAGTGAACATCAAAAGCAATCGTCCTCGATCAAACGCGACCGAGATCGTGCAACGCCACCTTTTCTCGAGCAAACGGCGACGAGAAACGGATCCTGGACAAGCAAATTGGAGAGCAACGCCAAGCTAGGCGAGGTACGTGATTCGAGGTATCGCGATCGATTTTTCAGTCCCTTCAGCCCTTTTCACCAGTTCTTTCGTTTCTTTCTTTCTTTCTTTTTTTTTTCTTGTTTTTCTTTTTTTTTTCTTTTTTTTGCAGTAACATATCGCGTAGATCACAGTAGTATCCGGAGGTCGAAGACGAGGCCACTTTCTCTGTTTCTCTCTCTTTCTCTCTCTCCTTTGACTCCGAGGAATCTTGTCTCGTCGAGCGAATATATTACCACAGGCAGGAACACCATTAGTACATCCCGGTATCGTTCGACGACGAGTTGTGACAACGCGTCGAAAGACGACCGTCGAGACAGACGATTATCCGACGAGCCAACGAGACACGAGGCCAACGATCACGGTATCGATCACACGGTAAACGTGTTAGAAAAAGGTAGTAAGGCTGACCTCGTATTTCTTACGAATCGTCTCGGTTCCTCGAGAATGTCCTTGCTAATCATTGTCCACCGTTTCCAGCCACTCGAGGAACGATATGCTCCATCCGTTGGATCCGTGCGATCCATGAGAACCATGGGATCCTTGAGAACCGTGAGATCCGTGCGAGCCGTGCGAACCATTGTTGTGCTGTTGTTTTCCTTGCAATTGGTGACTATGCTGCTGCTGTTGTTGTTGCTGCTGCTGCTGCGGCTGTGCCTGCTGCTGTTGCTGCGGCTGAGGCTGTTGTTGTTGACCACCACTAGTGCTACTGCTGCTACCATCACCACCACCACCACCACCGCCGCTACTACTAGCATCACCACTAATAGAGTTCAAAGATGGATGACTGCTGACGGTTGCCGCTTGATGATTCGTTGCCACCGGATGACCCTTTCCTCTTGCTCTTGTACCGTCGTTACGTTGCAGCGCCGAATAAATGGTAGACATTGTGTGGAAGATGTCGTTGAACTGTTTCACCTTGTTCGTGTTCTCCGTATTGTTGGTCTGCAGGGTGTTCGACTTGGTCGAGCTCTTCCTACCGGACGCGGAAGTACGAAGGCCGGAAGCGGAGGTAGGCGGCGCAGAGGCTGCCGGCAACGCTGGCAGAGCGTCGTTCGTTTTCTCTGGAAGCTCTGGTAACCTGCGACGCAGCCATGTGTGTTTCAACGCTTTGCCAGGTGTCAGCCGTTGTTCCGGGTCCCATTTGAGACAACGATGAATGAAATCCAGGAAATACGGGTCATCGCAATTTTTCAACACCTGTCTCAGATTCCTGGAACCCGGTGGGCCACGGTCTTTGCCTTTCCTGGAGAAACCGCCGTTCAATACGATCGATCCGTCGGACATCGTTATAACGGTGCAATAGCGCGGATAACCCTTCGAGCTGATGAACTGCCTGCGCCGTTTCGCCGATTCTAACAGCTGAGGCGGTGGCATGCCTAGCAACTCGATGATACAGGCTAGTTGGTCCGCCTCGTCTTCGCCTGGTAGCAATGGGAAACCGGTAACCAGCTCCACCAGGATACAACCGAGGCTCCACATGTCGATCGGCATACCGTACTTAGCGCCAAGGATCACCTCCGGAGCGCGATAGAAGCGACTTTGAATGTACGTGTAGACGCGTTGGTTCTCGTAGCAGCTCGAACCAAAGTCTATCACCTGGAACATAAAGAGAAACAGGTTTTAACCATCAACTAAGCGAGAGTATATTTTATACAATAATGCGTTTCGATTATGAGACTGGTTGTCAATGATCCGGTGATTATTACGGTTTACCGTTTTAAACAGTACTACCGTTTCAAACATCGGCGTATCGGTTTAACTACTTCGAATAATTTGCTTTTTAATAACTGCTAACCGAATAGCTGATTTTATTGAACGTCTTTTACAGAGTCTAACGTATCGCGTGTCGAATAATTACACGGCGATGGAAGAAAAAGAGCGGTTAAATTATCGCTTGTAAACGTTTGCAAACTTATGATAAAATTCTCCGGATAAATACAGATATTACGCGTAGTTTTCTGTACACATTTCGTTTATAAAAAGATATACGTCTCTGCTATTATTTCACCGAGCTCCCATTATTCCCAATGTCTCCAGAAGATTTATATTCTTATCGTATATTCTTTGAACGACAACGATTAATCTCAATAATAGGTATTAGACGCGGATCGATAAATACTGTCATTGATAATACCAGGGAATCCCGTTTTAATAGTTCCAGAAGATCTTAAATAGTCGGTCACGCTGACGGAATACTATATCATTCGCAAACTCCGAGACGATATACGCTCCGAAATCCAAGAGCCGTCTGAAGTGTATCATGAATACTCTACGTGGTCTGCATGAAATCAGAGCGGAGTATCGTTTACGGCACATTTGGCAACGGAACGTGACAAAATAACACGGTTCTCTAACGAAAGGACCAACCTTTGATAATGGTCCGTCATTTTTCTTGCTGCCTAGATTGCATGCTTATGTAAATTCTTATTTTTATGAATAGAACGAATAAATGAAACTCGTATACGTATCAACATTTGATACCTATCCTAATCCAAATATTACAACGAGTGCTCTACTTTGGATATTTTGTATATTTTTCCATATTATACGTAGTAAATATTAATATAGTTGGATCGCAGGTTTTATATTTACTTATCGACTATATACAGGGTCGTTGGTAACCGGTGGTACAAGCGGAAAGGGGGTGATTCTATGCGAAAAAAGAAATCGAAAATATAGAAAAAAAAATTTTTTTTCTAATTTTTCCATCGAGACAACGATCTACAGTGAGATCTGTCATAACGAGACGCGATAAAGTGCACGCGTACCGAGCGAAAATTCAAAGTCGATTTTCTCGGAAACAAAGCTACGAACGAAAAATTTGTATTCTATATTTTCGACTTCTTTTTTCGCGTAGAATCACCCCCTTTCCGCTTGTACCACCGGTTACCAACGACCCTGTATATAGTCGATAAGTAAATATAAAACCTGCGATATAGCAACGATATACGCTGATTAATCCTGCCTAATGAAATATGTTTTTTCAAATTTCCTAGGCAAATTTGGTTTCTCACGTTCCATCTTAACTTCTCCGTTATCTTAGATTTCCAAGATATCTAGAAAACTTATGAGATACTTATCGCTATACAACAACTTCTTACATCAAAAATTCGAATTTTCTTTTTCTTTCTTGATAAAAGTTCGTAAGAAAGAGACGTAAGAGCGAAGAAGTTTTGCTTGGATTGTCAACGAGCTATTTCGACTGAAGAGAAGGAACATTCGCCTGACGTTATTACAAACTATTAAGACGTCGGCGAAGAATAAAGGCGTGGCTAAAGAAAATTGACCAAGGCAGCGGATAATTTTGTGCGATCATATCTGTTTTTGCTACCGGCCTACTTTAATATTTCGGGCACGTGTGCGGCCAACAGGAACGCCACGTTGGAATTTATCCAGGATTATAGCGGTTCGCTCGGTTTATTGGCGAACCAGGCCCTATGCAAATTTCAATAAGCTGTAATATCGTTGTTCGATACCTAAACGATCATTCTACGAGCGTTCATCCCTGATTATAGCCACGAACACCGGATCTATTCTGTTGGATAAGCGTTAGATCATCCGAGTAAGAAAATGTCCAAGAATACAAGTAAAAGCATCATATTTTGTTAGTTTGAACTCGTTTCTAAAAATTCGGAAGCTTCCAAAGCTCTCGTTACTTTATTATAATTTAGAACTTTGGACGATCATAGTTCATCGACATTTACGTAAATTTTTACGATCTTATCGTTATTTACCTGCGATTCGGTAGTTGCTTAAAGATTAATACGCGATGGAACAATTTATTTTATCATATTTATCGAAAAGAAGCGTCAGTATCCGTTTCAATGAATTTCTACGAATTGGGCCCACGTATTTGTACACGTTCGGACGAGATACCAAAGGTAGTAGTAGGTCGAACTAATGAATTTCCATTGTATGAACGTCAGTTATATGCACGAATTGTTTGTCTCGCGATATATTCAGATAAACGGAGTTGTATAGTCGAAAGTCTAAGCTATTCTTGGGAGCTTTGGTTCGAACTTAACGCACTCCGATGTACTAGCGAGGAGCATAAAGATAGAAGATACGTGGGATCAGTGGGTAGAGCGAGTGAAATGTCTTTGTATGCTTATACCGAGCGTCTCATTTGAATCTTTCGTAACCATCTCTTACGCTACCTTGAACTATTCGAATCATTAGGAAGATATATCTTAGAGATATAGTTTAAACCGTTTCTACGATGATTTCAGCTACGTTTGCCACCCGCGCGATGATCGTTTAATTATTCCCCCTTTCCAAATTGATATACGTACACTTTCAAATATTTTACACGCGTAACAACAATCTCACGCCTCACTGTACATTCCAACGACGTCTATGCATTTCCAATTACGTTCATAGAAAACGCGTCTGAATCGCGACCAACGTAAACGTACGATGATATCTTCCTTCTCCACTCGGTCCTCTCAATCTTCTCTCGTCTACGCTGCACTCGCAAATCACCCACTCGACGCGATCTATGACTCAATCAGATCCACGCTTACCACATACCTACCATACGTATCAACTTATCCGCTTTGAAAACATACTTCCCATGAACGTGCCTGTTTTTTTCAACGAGAAACCGGCGTGTTGCCTTATTAAAGCGAGGCAGCACTGCCTGGGAGAAAGATATCGATTTTTCGCGTGAAAACTATCATCCACTCGTCCCCTCTACGAACACGACTAGAAGACTACAATGAAGGCTAATTTCATTAACATTATTTCATCTATATCGTATGTATATGTAGGATATACAGGGTGGTTGGTAACTGGTGGTACAAGCGGAAAGAGGGTGATTCTACGCGAAAAAAGAAGTGGAAAATATAGAATAAAAATTTTTCGTTCGAGGCTTCGTTTTCGAGAAAATCGACTTTGAATTTTCGCTCGGTACGCGTGCACCTTATCGCGTCTCGTTATAACGGATCTCACCGTAGATCGTTGTCTCGATTGACGTTATTTTTTTAATTCTTTAAATTTTTAAACTTTTATTCTATATTTTCGACTTCTTTTTTCGCCTAGAATCACCCCCTTTCCGCTTGTACCACCAGTTACCAACCACGCTGTATACGTCAATATTCGCGTACAATGTGTAGCCGAAAGCAAAGCAAAACGATCCCAACGATCGGGTTCCCGCGCGTACAACGCGTCAACGTAAATAGAAAGTGACACACTTGATCGATTTCGACGGTTGCCGCGCCGGAAGCCCGCTGAAGGGTACGTTCTTTGACGGAAGTCGTCCCAGAGGGACGGACGTCGTCCTGGCCGCTCCCTAGAAAACATGCTCGTACGTGTGGGTTTGCCATCTAGTTCAATGATCGTACGTCGAACCCGTCCAAGCTTTTATCGTCAACTTACTTTACCTTAACTTCGTGTACACAGCTAACTCAAAAATCGTAAAATGTCACATATGACACAGAGACTCGTACGAATCGTTTTTGGTTCATAGAAATAGACACAGGTCATCGCTACGAAAATTATATTAGATCTAGCGTGAACTTTGGATTTTATTTACGTTCATTTGTCCCGAGAGACCAGTGGGACCTATGGGACATATGGGAACCATCGTGATCCTCGAGTTTGTATCTCAGGAATTTATCTGACCTTCCAAATCCTCGATTCGTTCAAGTCTAAGTCTTTAACCTTTTGAGGTTCGCGGAGAGCGGTCGAATCTCTGAATTCCGAACATCGATACACGCTATGGCGTATCATCCATTCAAAACTGTTCAAGACCATCCAAGTTTCCCAATGAAATTCGACGCTAACTTTGTCAAAAATGTGTAGCGGCGCGCGAGCAGGACAAATTCAAATCCTGTTGTCGTTTTGTTTCGGAGTATCATGCCCGTTAGGTCACAGGTATTGCAAGGAGTAATGAACTCCGAGCAAAACAATGTCGCCGCTATTTTCAACCGTCAAACATAGTCGAGTTCAAACTTTCCGACTGTCCCCCGACCAGTATAAATAAACAAACGAAATAACGAGCGTAGAAGTTCAGCATAAGCATACAGACGCATCAGACGTACATACGGAGTTTCTTGACAAGCGCGTATTTATTTCGTAAGAGTTACTATACCTGGACTTGTGCTTTGTGTCGAATTAATATCTGTAATAAATTGCTCACAAATACATAGACTGTTATTCGTGATATTCGGTAAGATCAATCCTCTACAAATGTCTGCATATTATTTGGAGTCTCGCGAAGATACGACATCTGAAACCGGACATTTCAACCGGTTCGGTAGTTCCGGTGTTAAGGGCGATTTGCAAAATCTTCTCAGATATAGTCTACGTCGATCGTAAGGGAATATATGGGTCTGTTGTCTCGTTCAGTGATCGTACGTCGCATTCGCGCTTCTACCGTGAAGTTACTCTATGAAACGATGTAAACAAGCGCGAGAATCCGGCTACGCGCACATTTCGCTAAACAATCAGCTACGTTGCTAATTTATCGCGAGCACAGTGTTACCCGCAACTGTACGTTACGGATTTACGACGTCTCTCCTACCCGTTTTCGTTCAATGAAATTTCCTCGCGGTTGAAAGAGTGCCACTGGGTTGCAAAATATGTACGTTGTTCCC